TTGTGACAATACGAATTCTTATTAACTTAAATTAATTTGTAATGGAAATTAGAATAAATTAAAACATATAATTGAAACAAGTCTTACGTCTGCTTGGAATTTTTCATCAGAGGAAATACTGGATCCCAAACTGGTGGTACGGAGAAGGTAGCAAACTAAGAGCTGAATGACTTTTGAGGTCGGTTTTTTCGTAGCCTGTACTGAGATTATTGTAATCTAATTAAATTCTAACTTTCAAGTGACATAATTCTGCTTACAATATGACGTATTTCTTATTATATGACATATTTTTTATTTTATATTATTATTTGATAAATAACGATTCTAATTGAAACCTCGGCCTACCTCTGCTCTTATTGTTATCCCTAAGAAAGTGCTCATATGTGTAGCATTATTTTAATTTTAAGACATGTAAGCATTGACTTACAATTATATGGACGTCGGGTCCGCGCTAAAAAGTGTCCGAACTTATAGGGCATTAAAATCGTATACAGAGCGTCATTCACGCTTTAGTCTTCGTTTGTTCGACTGACAGCGAAGCAAGCAAAATTAGACAGTACTGCGATGACATTACAATTTAAATTCAACGTTTTAGCTTTTTCATATTCCTTTACATGTCACTACGTTTGAATAGGTTGACTTGGGACATTTTTTTCGTGGTTTTTGTATTAGATCCGTCGTCCATTTATTTGTAAGTCAATGCATGTAAGCAATACTCTTGTATACAATTAATTATTAAGATAGCAAGTAACGGGACGAGCAAATCGTGCGTTCAGTAGTAAGCGACACGCCTGTGCATAAAAGCTGCAGTGCCACTCAGAGTTTCAAATTACAAAGGTCTGAGGGGCACTGCCACTGCGCCCGTCGCCTTGTGACATAAGTTGACAAGTCTAATGTGCCTGTAATTTCACCAGCACCCTTACCCATGCAGTAATGCTCACACTACTGCTTGGCGGTAGAAATAGGTAAGGTAGACGAAGTTTTTCACAAGGAGCTCTACTGCTGCGTAATACAAAGTGGGGTGTTAGTCTAGTGGAAATCGGTTGCTTTCGCTGTGCCTATTTGCGAATATTTAGTAACAATCATACAATACGTCAAGTCAAAGTCAAAGTCAAAGATTATTTATTCCATAGGTAAAATAA